AATGAAAATAATTCTTCAAAGAAAATATCTTCTCAACTGTACAGACTATACTCACTGATTAAAAATCAATTTTCTTCTTTAAATGTTGAAAAAGTTGATTATAAGAAGTTATCTCTCTGAAGAGAAAAGCTTGAATCTCTCATAGACTTGTAAATAAGTGAACTATCTAAAGAGAAAGAATATGAACAGTATTTGAAGAGAATTTCTACAATTGATATAAAAGACTCTATTCTGATTTATTCAGATAGCTTAAAAAATGAGAATTTGAATAGATTAGATACAGATATTGCTTATACTGAAGATAATATTAATTTTATCTCAGATTTCTGGAATTTAGGCTGTGAATCTGAAGTCTTTGACACTGAACTATTTATAATAGTGAAAGCTTTCAAACTTATTAAAATAAAATCTTATAAAAGAGAAAATAGTTTGAAAGAGATATGAATATTCTCTGATAGTCAAGCTGCTTTAAAAAGACTTAGAAATAGTCAGATTCATAATGATCAAATGAATCTTGAACTGATCTTAAACTTCATTTTAAAAATTCAAAGAGAAGAACATCAAAGCTGATAATTTATCTGCACTGAGTTCATGCTCATATGAATATTTATGACAATGAATTGACTGATTCAGCTGTAAAAAAAGGTTCAGAATTAAGCAGATCTATTCAAAAAATTATGTCCTAGTCTTTTATAAAGAGAAAAATAAAAGAATCTTGTTTAGACAAGTAAAATGAAAGCTGATAGAAACAAAAGAAGAGTATACATTATTCAAGATTTGAAACAAAATTCAAGTGAAAATCTTGTTCAATTAAATGTAAAAAGAAAATATTCTCATCTATAATACAGCTGAAATTAGAACATGATTATTTTAAATCTTATATACAAAGATTTGACAATAGATTTGATTCAATAGAATGCTCATTCTGCAATGCAAATGAGAATTCTGAGTATATTATAATACACTGTGTATTATATAATAGTCTCAGAGTCAGATTGAAAGAGAAGTATAATCTAAATCAATTAAATATGAGATTCTTATTCTCAACTGAGACAGGAATTAAATACTTAATAGACTTTCTATCAGAAACTCAAGCAGCTATAAGAAAATGACTGAATTCAGAAATATCTGAATATGAAGAGAAGGAAATTGATCAGATATAGTCTGTTAAAACAGCTATATACTATCTTTTAATAATTTGTTTCATTACAGTCTCTCTTTATTTTACTTTACTTTTTTCTTTCTATTCTTTTCTATCTATCTATTTAATGTGTCTATCTTTAAGACTGTGTTCTCTTTTCTTTTATCATGTCAAATGATTTCAAAATATCAGAAGATGTTAAAATACTGTAATTTGTGAACAGTTTTTGTATTCTGAGCTGGAATTTTCTGATTTTGCATATCTGAAATTGATGAATGTATAATAGTTAACTTTATAGATATAGGAAAAACTCTGAGAACTTTTAGTTCTCAGGTAGATGTCATAGTCTCTGACTGCATACATCTATAATTGAAGAATAATAATAATAATAATAATAACAATGAATAGCTGAAGTGATATCTCAGTAGCATTTTATTAATATAAAAGAAGTAATCTACTGAGCTTGTATAGAAGTGAGATTTTTATATTTATTAATTAAATCCTTCTATATTACATCTGAGTGATGTTATAGAGTGATTGAAAACTGGTTTAAATATCTATGAGATGAATGAAATTATTCACAGAGAAGTAATAAGCTGTATGAAGCTGCTATAAAGTCTTAACACAGTCAGAGATGTAATAAAAAGTAAAGAATAAACTTGTATAAAAATGTATTTAGTTATTTTATAAGTATTATCAATAATTATTATCAAATTCTGATTATATAAGCAATCACTGAATAAATTAAATAAGACTAAATTTAATCTTCAGTCTCAGTCTTATTCTGATTTTTAAAGAATGATTATCTTTTACTATTTATTTTAAGAAATTACTCTTATTTTACTATTCTTAAATTAAATCTGATTATTTTTCACATCATTTCTGAAAAAAATAATTTATTTTCAGAAATTTTTAATACTTAATTCTGATAAAACTTATACTAAGAAATATATAAGATCAGATTAAATAAAATTAGATGTGAAATTTATAATCTTATCAGTCAGTTTACTTATAATATGTAAAGCTTTGCAGATATTCTAATGTATACAAAATTTAATCAGATTAATACCTTTATATTAATTTTCTTTAATTTCTTAATAACTTCTGTAAGTCTTCTGTAAAATATTCAGTAAAAGATACTGCTATTTTTATATATAATATTCTTTCTCTAGTTATCAAACTACTTTGCTGAGTTATAAATATCTACTTAGCAGAGTAGTAATTAAGAGAGATATCAGATTCTCTCTTTACATACTAATTACTTTCATTTTAAGTAAGATATTCACTAATCACTCAGTGAATATCTGCTATATATAAAAGACTATACAGTAGCTAAATCTTTATAATTAATCAACTACTCTATAATATTACCTTTATTAAATACTAGAAAAACTCTGAAAATTAAAAGTTTTCAGATAAATATTATAGTCTCTGACTATATACATTTATAATAAAAGAATAATAATAATAATAATAACTATTTCAGATCAAAAGCTGTATATAAGTCATTATTTCATACAATCTTCAATGAGAAGATCTTGATTGCTAATACAATTAATATCATTAATATGTGCTCATTGTAACACTAGTATAAAATACTTATTTGACACATTTGTCACTATAGACTGCCGTAGGGAGTCATTTAGCTAGATGGCTTGTAAGAGGAGTCAGTTTCTGCGCTTTTGATTGGGTCGCAGTCGGGCGCGTCGTCAAATTAAAGTTGATCCATGTTGCATCCTCGGTTCGGGGCTCCACACTCGGTTGTTTCCACGTCGTTTAGTCACCACACTTCTCAACCAGCGGTAACTGATCTATCTCGCTTTCGATGTTTTTCCCCGTGCCCTTCGCGGTCCGGACCAGAAGGGCGCCAAGCTATGATTTGTCGTTGGCATTATCAAGCGGTGGGACTGATATAAAATTTCGACTGATATGATTTTGTTGCAGGTGAATTGGAGATGTCAGCGTCAATTCCGTGTTGTTGAAATATGTATGGGTCGATGATCGGCATGTGGTGATTCATTCATCATAATCCAATACAATATGTCATCTGATGATAGGCTGTTGTTCTCAACGCCTCTTTGTTGCGGAGGGGGGGTGGTGTTCTGCCACATCATACTCGAATATTGCTCGGACAGTGAGGATATTGTCTCTGAGAAGAGAGATAAATCATCTCTTTCTTCCAAAGTTTTCAGAGCCATTCAAGACCAACACAATTCCCATATTCCCTAAGAACTGTCAATTAAGGGATTCAACTGATGGTACTATTGTGTTGAGGGAGGGGAAACTTAGCTGTTTGAAAAAGAGGATACAGGTGTTGCACAAGCAATCTGGGCTCATAACCTGTTGAAATAGGTTCAGAGTATGAGCTTGTATTTCTTGTTTATGCCTTTTACACTGAGGCGGGACAATATATATCAGTTCAGGCCTCAGCCGCAACCTTCAGCCACCGTGATCCTCCAGCCACAGTGATATTCAACAGTGACACAGACACCAGTGCCGGGGTCAATTCCAGGCAGTCTCAGGACAGGAGCAGTTCTTCTTCTTCTTCTATTCAATTTAATGTACCACCCAGCCGCTTTCCACAGCTATGCAGATGATGGGTATTCATAGCTAATATACATCATATAATGCAGTCTAGATGATAGTCAAGGTTTTTCAGTGAGTTTCTCTGACTTCTGTTTATTCTATAAACTGAAAGAACTCAGTGCATGTTTTAGTATATTTTATTCTCTGTAATTGCTTCATATTTTCTGAGAAGTCTAGTTAAGTTTATAAATCTTGCTGTCTTTTTAGCTAGCTTAGATGTGGTCAGAATCTTCTTGAGATTCAGTTTCTCATGTTTTCACTCTGAGACTGTTGAATTTAGAGCATGTCAGAAGAATGTGTTGTACTGTCTGATTGTTTCTACATTCACAAAGAGTGTTGATGATTAGAATATGTTGATAGTCTGTATTTACTGTTCTCTTTCTGGCGCACGCCCTGCCTTGTTTTATTTTCTGTCATACATGTGTCCTTTGTTTCTTGGAAAGTTTAATAATTTATGAAAGTTAGTTCAATGAAAAGTAAAATGATGGTCACAATTAACAGTGCTTAGTTGTGCAAAACTCCTCTGTTTTGCGCCAGGAAGTCAGGAAGTCTGGACACTGAGCAGTTCAACTTCTACAAAGTTGGCGGAGTAGTTAAGGCTTGGTAGCATCCGTATCAAAAGCAATCCACTTTGATATCCACTCTTGTTCACGTTTGTTAGCCACAACTGATGCTTCCTGCGCCGAGGCCTTTGTCAATCTGTATTAGAGATGGCAAGTGGTTTTGATCTCTCCTTATCCTTATCGTTGATTAAGCGCCTTGCACCTCAGCTTGTAAATCTCCATCTTGCGCCTTTGCAATCCGGGATCACGTCCCGTCTTCGGTATAGGATCAAGCCGATTCGTCTTCACGTCTTGCTTGAATACATTAACTGGAGCCAGTAATCCGCAGATACGTTCCGGCCTTGAACCATGTTGAGAACAGTGAATTTGTACTTCCGTTGACGTAAAACCATTCTAAGACACTCAAGCTGTAGCACGCTAGTTTCAGCAAGTCCATAAATATAGCTGGCCGAAGGAAGGGGCGATGGCTATGGGAACTCGGGAGATGCACCATTGGCTATTGTTCGGTTAAATGGGATTTTTTACATGACCCATAATATCCGTCTATCTCGTGGGGTTCTAGGTAAGGCTCAGCAGAGTACCACCGGGCTTATTAGAATATTCATGGTCTGGTCATACCAGATGTCATTCCTGGGGGGAAAATATCCCCTATTCTTCAGAGTATGCATGGCCTGAGCATACCCGATATATCCCTTACTCTTCAGAGCATCCATGGTCTGGTCATGCTAGATATCACTCCTAGGTAAAATACCCCCTATTCTTTAGAATATTCATACCAGATTTCCTCTATTCTCTAGAATACTACTGAGAACACTACTTGTAAAGGACAGTCAAGAGGTCTGTAAATTTTGCAGTTCGGTTGTTTCATTACAGTACGAAAAGCGAGAATATTCAAAACAGGACCTGTAGCATGACCAATTAAACAGTCATCATGTGTACGCTCTCATATTGTCAATCGAAGAAAAACAGAAGCAGAGAGATAAAGAAATGAGGGGGAAGAGCCGGAATGAAACATGAGAAGCAAACAAAAGACCAAACGAGGGGAATCGAAGCAAATTCAGTGGGTGGCAGCACGCTGTAAGATCAAAGATGATCTCATTTTTTTATATCCAACACCATAAAATGGGAATTTCTGCTATTTATGGGGGCTCCAGGCTTCAAGATTTTTAAGTATTCTCTTGGCGGCTTCCGGATCACGTTCTTTTGGGTCGACTCGTACTAAAGAATGTATGAGCCGCGCAAGTGAATGGCAATATTCTGGCTCGTCTTTCAGGTGGCTCATCGAAAGCCGAGACTCAATGTATGAGATCTGTGCCTCGTGGTTGGCGGCTGTGTGATAATGAGGTCAGGTCTAATGAAATTTCGCGCAGGAATGGAAAGAAGAACTGGTATTAAACTGGTTGTGGGGAACATACCGAGATAATATGTTAGGTCATTTTTCCTGTCAAATAGATGCTGGTAGGTTGGTATATACGCGAACTAGATAAAGTTAGAGATGATAGGAAAAGGGAGAAAAATTTGCTTAGATTAGATAAAATCGCATTTAACAGAATATATTAACCTACCACACAGCCTAGACTCCAAAGGTCAGACTTCGCAGTTGCAGTATTTGCACCACTATGCTCCAGCTCTGGGGCACAGTAGTTTTCTGTCCCGAGGACATTTGATTTTGAAGGTGTGTCAAACCCTTGTTCAAGCACTTGTTAGTACAACTATTCTACATTGAGTCAGAGGAGCTGAAATGTAAGCAAAAGATATTCCTATCAGATATTCAATTGGAATGATGGTGACAAACCTTTGCCAAAATCAATTATATCAACTAGTGACATATCTTGTGCATCTGTTTTAAGAGGAGTCCCATAACGGAGAATGATATACTCAGGCAGATTACCTGGGCGTGGAGGCGGTGTGTCCAAATCTGAAACATTCCGGAGTATAACATAAGATTTTTGATCAAACTCAAAAGTTTTGACCAATGCTTCATTGGTAAAAGCTTCAGGATGTACCCCTAGAGAAATATTATTGGGGCTAATGTCTAAGTGAAATCATTTGCTTGGTTAATGAATGTTTGTTGAATAGTATTGAGTAGTTATGAGAGAGTAAACATCACCTACCACCATGGCATATTCCCTTCTGATGAAAAGTAAGCACCTTCATCAAGATCGTCCTCACTAATATGGTGAGAGAAGGAACATCACCAGGTGCATCAACTTCAGCATTAAACCTCTCCCGAAGAGTACACCCAAGTGGCTTTAGGCCAAGACAGAGAAATTGATCTTGTGTGGGGACATGAGTGTGGAAAAAGGCAACCTCAAGTTTTCCAAGCTTCTGTAGAATACTCATCTCAGAGTTGTCTGGAGTGCTATACTCAAGTCGTAGAATTTTGAGGGCAAGGTATTCGCCAGAATTGCTGAACATATCAAGCGTCAGCTGGTCTAACTCAATAAGCTGAAGGGCATGAGAAGAGTGCATGGGGTTATTACATGTCTCTTCCCAACCAAACAGTAGAATAAGATCCTCTTCCCAGCTTTCCAATGATCCTGAAAGAACACAGCTTTCCTTTATGAATCAAGTCTGAGCCACCAAGCAAATCATCAATCAAAACAGGACATAGGCCTTCATCAGTATACTCATGCAGAAACTCGCATTCGCTACCCTGAAAAAGTGTTGTGTCCCAACCAGGTGAGTCAGAAGCTTGATGTTTCTTTACAGGATACTGCTTCGGTTGCAGTGTTGGTTCCATTGCTGGGTCAATGTATGGTGTTGGAGGTTTCTAGGGATGAATAATTTAGCCGTAGCATACAGATAAAAATCAAATTCTGAATCGGAAAATTTTCGAGGGCTCGAGTCTAATATAGTTATAAGTTAGGCAGCGGGCCGCTTTCCAACCCAAAAATGAAAAATAAAATAATAAAAAGATTGGGAATTTCCGTAATCCGCATTTGTATCCAGCCTGCTTATTCAACCAATTACGAGAAACTTAAGTTAACTACCGCTTACTACACCTCCTTTCTTCTAGTTATGTTATAGCTGTATTTTACAAAGGGAATGCCCCTTAGTGACCACTACTCAACCATTTTTCATTGAAAGCATCCTTTCAAGTTCATTCATGATACAGACAGCTTCAATTCACATGCATCCCAGGACTTCAATCCTGCTCTCCCCACCCAATCCTCTCCCATGCTAGCCACCAGGCTCCCAAGTTATTCAATCACAGGAATATCATTGGTTAAATAGCCCCTGAACCTCAAAACAACACCCGTCAAGGACCCCAATGGCTAATATCGAGCCTTTGTTGCCGTGAGATTTTGGGTATCTCAGCGGGGATGCCAACCAACAAAGCATATATGATTCGCTGTTAATTGCTGTAAAGTTTGCTTGAAAGCGGTTCTTGCTGCTGGACGCTTCTCATGGCCCTTGCCCGCCAAATTCCGAATAGCCAGGAGCGATCTTCTTTAATCATACCGCTCTGAACGGTTATATCCCAAATATCACTCAGTTTACCCAAGCGCCTTTACCTGCGAACATTCAGAAGAGATGAGAGAAGTAATGTATGAAACAAACAGGAAGGGCCACCCCCGGCTTGGAGTTTGTATATAAATCATTGCAACCTTCAGCTTTTACTCCCTCCATCAATCATCCCGATTCACAAGAAAATCCCCCTTAAACATCTTTACATCTCTACGGCTCCGTCAATACATTCTCCCAATATACGCCTTAACCCCTTGCCCGCTGGTTGTTAGACTTCTTAACACCTTCCTTCGTTCAAACCGTTATCCTCTACCGATTCAAGATGCCTGCAAATGTGGACAAAGCTAACTGGCCGGTCTATACGATGCGATACCGATGTTCGGGGGTCGAAAAGCAGCTTCGGCTTGAGTGGAATCACAAACCTGAGGCCCACAGTGTGGAAGAGGTTGTCCAGTGCATCAGGGACTATATAAAGAACCCCCAAGACCGTATGGAGTCTAATACCGGCGAAACCTTCAAGACCCTTCTACCAGATTACTGTATTGTGCAGTATGTTATCATCCCGCGGACCCCGCGGACTATCCTGTTGATTATACCCATATCCTGTGATTTTGTCTTTGTTCTAGGAAGGGCGGTCACAAGACTCAAACCTCAAAAACCGACAGAGAACCGGATACTGCTTATCATATTTCTGTGCGGTTTGGTAAAATCGCTGATCGTGCTGGGGCGGGCCAAGTGTGGGCCTACTCTGTCCACATCTATCTCAATGATAATACCAAGAAATATGAACCGAGAGAAGTTATATGGGGTAACCCAACACCTGACAGACCAGAACAGTCCGCGGTATACAAGAACAGAATCCAATGGCCTACCGGCGCAACAGCTACGACAGCACCCCCGGCTCCCGGTGAGCAACCCTTAGTCTCCACCACATCGACTGAAGGGTTGGCTCCAGCCTCTCTCCCTACGACTAATCCTTGGGGCGGATCAATAATTCCGTCGCGGCCGCCGAATCCCCCCCAGTGGGGAGAAGGTCCAGGCCAAGGGTCTGCCGCAGGGGGCGGTGGAAGTACATAAGAAAGAGACCCAGTCTCTTCTTTTTAGAACCCGTTTTTGAAATCTTGAAATTGACAGGGTGTTCTGGGGATGGACTTGAAATCAGGAGGTCTATTTTCTTATATGATATCATCACTTCGTTGGCTGTTGTTCTCTCGAGTTTTGTGTACTCTATATTGCTTGGCCATAGCCCTCATTCCTCGATTCCACCGTACACGCTTGTTACACCCTGCATTGTTTTGACTCCCATGTCCTCCCGGACCAACATCTCCAGCAGTTCGGGAACCAAGACCTCCCGTGCATACACAACGGTACCATACTTCGACACAACGCTATCGATGCCGACCAGTGAGTCGATGGCATCTTTAAAACGAGACACGACATGCTCCGTAGAGGGAAGGTCAATGAAGAGGGAAGTAGGATGACTAGTGACGAGGCAAATATTTCTAAATCTATATACACTTTTGAACTCAGAGATGAAGTCAATGAAAACACAAGAGTCCCGCCGGATAAATGGGCAATGAAACAAGACAAGCAATGCACATCCGCTTTTTTCTTCTCTAGCAACCAATCAATATAAGATATCCCAAGGGTAAAAGAAACCAAGGCCAAGGACCGAAATTTGAGGCAGCAATCACACCGATCTATGGAAATTAGAAAAAAAATGGCAAAGGGAAGAAAAAAATAAGGGGAAAAAGCCCAAGGTATCGTAGATGACATTTCACGGAGAAAACACCAAAATGAAAGGACAAGGAAAAACAAGGCAAAAAAATTGGCTCCACAATCCATCTGCATATAAATCACAATATACACTCCTACGACTCCGCAATAGCATTCTTAACCCACTTCTCCAACCCACCCCGCGCAATAATCTCCTGCACATTCGGCGGCAACTCACCAACCTTATGTGTCCACTTCGCACCCCCTTCGCCCTCCTGCACCTCAATCCGGCTCCTCCTAACATCCCATGTCAACGTCCACCCAGTCCTGCGCGTGAGCGCCTTCTTCCCATCCTCAGCACCGGCATTACCAAATGACTCCCTCAACCGCTCAATCAACCTCGGCACCTCCAGCCCCATCAGCGCATTATTGATACTGTTGCGCGAGAAGATGTTGCCGAAGCTGCCCGCGACGACGAGCGGGATGCGCTTGGCTAGGATAGCTGTCGCGGCCTGCTCGCGCGAGCTGCCGCAGCCGAAGTTGAAGCCTGTAACGAGGATGTCGCCTGCGCGCGCGAGCTGGGAGAAGGCGGCGTCGTAGTTGGACATGCAGACTTTGGCCATTTGGGCGGTGGAGATGTTGTCTTGGTAGGTGTATTTGCCGGGGTAGATGCCGTCGGTGTTTATGTTGTCGGCGTCGCAGAAGATGATTTCGCCAGAGACGCGTTCGGGGAAGCCTGGGAAGAGTTCGGTGAGGGCGGGGGAGTCGGTTTCAGGCTCTTGTTGGGATTGGGGCTGCTGTTGTTGAGACGCACTTTCTTGTGGAGATGTTAAGGCTGATGATGTGGCTTTGTCACCGAAGATCTTCTCGGCGTCTTGGACCATGGTATCGAGCTGGCCGATGACTTTGGCAATGGATTCTTCGGCCGTAAGCATTCTATCTTCTTCTCTGATGCCATCACCTTCGCCACGGATAACGCCAGTCCATCCCTCCGGCTTCTCGTACCAGCCCGGCCCGCTAATTTTGCCGCTCAGCGCGCTGGCGGCGACGACTTCGGGACTGGCAAGGTACGCCTTTGCTTCGGTGCTACCCATCCGACCCTTGAAATTGCGATTTGTTGCACTGATTCCCACTTCGCCCGGTTCCAGAAGACCAGTTCCTAAGCCGATACATGGTCCACAACCAGCCGGGAGTGGTTGGGCTCCCGCTTCGACCAGGACTTGCCAGTCACCAGCTTCTTCTGCAGCGTTCTGTTCGGGGATAGAGGCAGCTGCGATGTAGAATTTGACGCCATCTGCTAGCTTTGGAATTTTCCCGTCGTTTTTCTCTGCAGCCTCCCTAAAGACCTTTGCAGCCGCGGCAAGGTCAGATGCTCTGGAGTTTGTGCACGAGACGAGATATGCTTTGTTAACCTTGATATCCTGTCCTTCTAGCTCATTCAAGGGAGTAGCCACTTTCACGGAATTAGGGCCAGAGACGTAGGGAGCAAGCGTAGACAGATCCAGGTAGAGCTCTTTGGCGTACTGGGCGCCCTTATCTGCAGCAAGGGGCCGTTCGAACATTTTATCCAGTAGGGAATGTGTGAAGCGTGTATTTGCTGAGCTTGGGAGACCGTTCTGGGATCCACCCCACATAGCTGCGGTTGTCGCTTTGGATCTCAACCAGCCTTTCAAGATGTTGTCGACGGGGAAGATGCCAGCGAGAGCGCCCCATTCTGTTGTCATGTTGGCAATGGTAAGTCTGTCATCGACCGCTAAACTTCTCATGGTTTCTTCCGATCCTGTGAATTCAATGGCATGATTGAGGACATCGTCCTTGTCGAACAGGCCACAGAGCGCGACAATCACATCCTTGCCCGTAACACCCTTGGGCAAGACACCAGTAAAGTTAACCTTCGCAACTGGAGGGATCTGCCACCATGTTTTGCCCGTGGCCCAGATGCTAGCAGCATCTGTCCGTACCACGGGGGTACCCAGACATCCCACTCCTCCGTACATGTTGGAGTGGCTATCCGATGCCACCACTAGGGTGCCAGGCCAAGCGTACCCTTCCTCGACCATGATCTGATGGCCAATACCGCGCCCCGCAGGATAAAAGTCTACCTCATGAGTCTTGGCAAACTGTTCAATCTGCTGATACTTGAGCAAATTCTTCTCCGACTTATTCTGCACGTCATGGTCCAGAGTCATGACGATCTGCTTAGGATCCTGCAGTTTAGACGCGCCGATGGACATGAACTTGAGCGCGACGGGCCATGAGTTATCGTGGGTCATGCATTTGTAGGGGGAGATGGTGACATAGTCGCCGGACCGCACGTGTTTGCCCGGAGCTAGGCCGACGGAATACTTCTGGACGATTTTCTCAACGAGGGTCTGCGGTACGGGGTCGGTCGCGGATTCAAGAGAGGAGAGGATGGCTGAGGCAGAGGGGTCCTCACGCTGGGAGTGGAAGACGTCTGGAGAGAAGGTCCATCTTGAGGCGGAGAATGGACGGTAGCATGAGGGGACTGAGAGGGGGCGTCTGGGGAGCAGTCGGGGCCTATATGCCGCGGCCAAAGATCGCTATGGGAAGTTGATTAATACGAGGCAATTAATACGCCATTTGGGAAAGAAACTAGTGACTTACAATCATGATGGCAGCGGGTAGTATGATACACCTGACTGCTCCTGAGTTACGGAGTATATCTAGGGGAAGATATAAATGACTCTTCCCAAAATATTTTGAGGATTTAGTTTTGCCCGCAGCCAATGAAAATCAAGGGATTAATTATGTAACTGCGTTTGCAGGGGAAATAAACATGCCAAGATATGTCAAGATATGCTCCGATCTCGGAATGGCGGAGATCATGTGATTTTCTCTCGCATAAAAGTTGATCCGGCTGGGTCTCTCATCAATGTTCCTGTTGCTTTCTATAAATTAATATTATTTCAATTTAGCATTGTATATTATATATATCACAATATCAATTGCTATTATTCTTCGTGCCCATCACGTTCGCAATGCCACCTTCATCCTATCTTTGCTAAACGTCACGGAGGTACGGTACAGATATATATTACTTTCTAAAGGATTGGGTAATTGGCTACTGTAGTGCACCTAACCGTGTAAATATTCTAATTGGCCGTGGGGATAAAATCCGTAGATCATTTCGTTAGATGAATTGTTACAGTCACATTCTGAACCATTTGTCATAGCTATTAGCTATCCAAAACCACCCGCCCTAGTACGAAGTAAAGAAATAACATTGATTGTTATGACTCAAGAGTTTAACAGTCACTTATAAAGAGGGTATCTATCTCAATGATCTCAAATGCGTTTCATGTCCACATTGATTCTTCCAAGAAATTGTCACAGGTTCAATTCCCAGCCAGTTGGTTTCAATTGTAGGCCATTCGTCCAACATTATTATTATTATTATTGTTGTATACAGCCGATCTGCCCCACCATCACATTATATTGTCCTGCCGTCTGCCAAGCCTTTGATATCCTATTACACCCCACGCTGCTTCCTCGAGCTTCGCCATCTAACAACCAAACTATTGAAATATACAATATAACTTTGGCAAAAACAGAAAACAAGGGGAAACTACATAATTGAAATATAGAAAAATGCCCAACCGCTCTTCCATCTCTTACTTCGGCGCAGGCCCCGCGCCGCTCCCAACCCCCGTCATCGAATCCGCCGCGGCAGCCCTAATAAACTACAACGACTGCGGCCTAGGCCTAGCAGAGATCTCCCACCGCTCACCCGTCGCCAACAAAATCCTCGCCGACACCAAGGCAAACCTGATAACACTTCTAGATATCCCCGCGGACGACTATGAGATCCTCTTCATGCAGGGTGGCGGGACTGGGGAGTTCAGTGCCGTCGTGTACAATATGGTCGGGGTGTGGGTTGAGCGGAGAAGACGGGCTCTTGCAGCTCAGGCTCAGAGGGAGGGGAATGGCGAGGAGTTCGTGGAGGCGGAGTTGAAGCGGATGGTGCGCGAGGAGCTGAAGATGGATTACCTGGTGACGGGCTCGTGGTCACTGAAAGCGATGCAGGAGGCGCAGAGGCTATGTGGGAAGCAGTTTGTGAATGCTGCGTGTGATGCGCGGGAGGGGAATGGGGGGAAGTTTGGGACGATTCCGGCCGAGAAGGAGTGGAAGCTTACGAAGACGAGGCGGGAGGGCGGCAGTGGTGCGCCGGCCTTTATATATTATTGCGACAATGAGACGGTGGATGGAGTGGAGTTTCAAGGGTTTCCGACGTGTTTGGAGGCGCCCGAGGGGGATGTTGCTGAGGAGGATGAGCGGTTGGTTGTTGCGGATATGAGTTCGAACTTCTTGAGCAGGAAAGTTGATGTGCGGAAGTTTGCGGCTGTTTTTGTAAGTCTTAAGCAAGGCAGCTACGATTCCTTTCTATGTTTTTATATATATCATTTTACTAATCTTATTATTCACAGGCCGGGGCCCAAAAGAACGTTGGCGTCGCTGGAATCACCGTGGTTATTATCCGGAAATCGCTTCTGCCACCTCACACAGCAACACCATCTCCAGAGCTTCTTCGTAAACTAGAAATTGGCGGGCTCCCCGGCCCCATCATGTTCGATTACGCCACTATCGCCAAAATACCTCTCTCTACAAC